CTTAGATTTATTGTTAAAAAACACCATTTTGGATGTATCTCATTCATCATATTCTCCAACTCTCTCTTTCTCCATTGACGATCTTAACTTCTTCATTTTTCTTTTTCTATCCGTTTTTAGTGGTGTTCCTCCAATGGTGAAGCTCGAGGGAGTGGGGTTTGCATCCGAGAGGAGCTAGCTGCTATAGTCATTCGTGGTGGTTCGAAGGAAGTGTCGGTCGTACACATCTATATCTTTCTTATCCAACCTTTGCTCTATTTTATGATTGAGCTTTAATTGGGTTGTAAGAAACGAGTGAACAAATTGAGATTTTTCGTAGTTTATTCGAACCTCACCATGAACTAGACTATATTTGGTGGAGTTCCTTGATGGATGCGTTAAAATTTGTCTTGAATGGTTAATTAATGTTTTCTTTTGCTTATTACTTGTTTTGCTTATGAGTTCTTAATCTCTTAAGATTGTAGGAGGCATGAGAGTGTTCATTTCTTAAGTAGAAGGCTAGGTGTTTGAGAGAAACGTAGTCACTACTTCTTTAGCATTCGAGAGAAAGTAAAGTAAGATTAGCATAAGCAATGGGTTGTAGTTAATTACTAGAACCTAATCCCTTAGTATTCGAGAGAAACTAAGCTAGGATTTTAACGACTAAAAGGGGTAAAGTGTAATCAATGGTTTAGTGTGTGTCACTGCTCAAGCCAAGAGGAGATGTCGTGGCATCATATTCTGTTAGGTTCTTAGACTAGAGATAGCATATAACATCTTTAACAAACTCTATCGAACATGTTAGGCACTAGAAGACTAGATCAACTTAAGAGATAAGTTTAAAACTTCCTAAGTGAATCCCCACCATTCATTCACGTAGAAGCTTCTCGTATGAGGATTATCAAGTTATTTCATTTATCATGCATATTTACGATTCTGCATTGCCTTGACATTTTCACCTATTCATACTATAAACATTTTATTTGCCACAATATTTCTATTTGCTACCCATTGTACTACCATTCTGATTCCACTCTTAAACATTTCATTTGATAGGCATAATCATTTGTATATATCGTCATCTTAAATATACTTAGATAAAGTAGTTCTTTGCTTTGACTAAACTTATAAATTTCCATCAATCCTTGTAGATACGATACTCACTCATCACTGTATTACTTGTGTGATTGTGTATACTTGCACATCATTTGCGTTCAATATTAAGCACACACAACACGTAACAAAAATCTCACACTTGGTTGAACTTTGGGTGTTTCCAACAACTCAGGAATCCCATGTAACTCACTTCTAGCTCAATTCTACCACATGAGGTCATTAGATGTGTTTTGGTAGGTTGCATGAGTTATGAAGCACGTTCATGGTAGAATTCAAAAATCAGTGTTTTCCAGCATGTTTATGGACTCTTTATGACCCCTATATTCTTACATAACTCTTTAATAATGTTTGGGGACCTAAGTAGGATTTTTAAGAGTGTTGGGAGGCATTTTCGTGCCCTAAACAAGGTATTTTTGGACATGAGTATCAGTACTAGAATAACAATATCGATATTGTTCTTCAAGTGTTAAAAACAAAAGGGTTTTGGGCTAGAAGTATCGATACCCATTGCATGAGTATCAATAGTGTAGGTGAGGTAACGATACTCGCAGGGTGGTTCACTTAGTAGATTCCAGTAGCCAAATTCATATCGATACTCATAGGATAATCGATACCAAGGGTAGAGTATCAATACTCACAAATAGGGTTATATATACTTAGGTATTTTTTCATACATTGAAGTCAAATTTGGTATTGGTACTCAAGAAAGTATCGACATTCAGGACCAGAAGTATCGATGCTCAAGAATGAGTATCAATACCAACCCTTTGTTACTAGCCTTTAACAAGTCAGTAGTATCAATACCCAAAGGCTAGTATCGATATCCACATGCCAGTATTGATACTGAGGAGATTAGTATCGGTACCTACAAACAATTTTGGGTAAGAAACCCAAGGGTTTTAAGAGTTAGAATTAAGGGACCCAATAACACTAGAATACCATGAAATAAAACTACAAGTATGAACAATAATAAACTCAGAACAGTTAGAAACACTAACAGTTAGGATGACATAAAACTAACATTGTTTGACGCTTGAGACACAGTTAGGACACCCAAGTTACTTTAGTAGATACAATCATATAGTTGGATATCCCAGTCAGTGCCAAGACACTTCAGTCACCAACTGGGCGTAAATGCCCAAAGACTCGACGGAGTAAGTTGGTCGGATGCATGTTTCTGATGCAGCTCCGGATCTCACCCAAATAACCAAAGGTATTTTAGAAAGGCTAAAGGAGTGTGTGAGCTCCGAGATGTAGAACCCTCAACCACACCATGATGCCAACATCAACATGTTAGATCATTAATTCCTTATACATGTGCCACTAGCATGCACATTTAGTGAATGCATATAGTATAGTAGAGTTATTAGTGAGGCACTGAGCCTGTAAGCTCAGCGTTCGCAATGTGTTCCCATGCACAGGTTTTTAGAGATTCAGTCGAGGAGCATTATCGTCGCCAACAGTTCTAGCATAACAGAGACTTCAGAGTACGTCTTGATTTTTATTAGAGGGCATGTACTATTGTAAACCCTTTGAATTCAGTTTAACTCTATTTTGTTTTAAATCAGTGTATTATTTTGAGATGTTTTAGGAGCTCCCCATACTTGTTAAACAAATTTATTATATTTTATTTACATTCTTATGGATGACGTTTTATATAATGATTTACAACGTTTTAAAGAAAATTTTTTGGGTTTGTCACTTCGGTGGTCTCGTGTGACATCACCATCTAGTGATCTTTAGGTCAGACTGGATTAGGGTGTTACAAATACGAGGTTAAAAAAGTATCACTATTTTAGCTTGAATTCTTAACCAAAACTCTGAAAAAATATCTACGAAAAGTTGGATTCGTCGCACTTTGACAATTCTAAAACATACAACTAGTCATTATGAAAGTATAAGAAAAAAAATTGAACATAGCCCAAGCTAGATCTCTACGTCCCGCTCCTTCATCTCATCCGAAGCCTCTATTGAATCATTATCCTTAATAAGATCAACTTCCTGTAATCGAGCATGAATCTGATCATTTATGGTATGCTCATTCTTAGTGTCAATGCCGTCTAAATGTTACAAAAATTCCTACATCCATTTCTGGGCATTTAGAGTAAGAGTATCTTGCCCTCCACTCGATTTATTCCCTCGAAGAAAATTCTCCTTCGAAGACTTATGAGCCACACCATGTGAGTTATTAACCCTAAATCTCATACCACTTTTGGCACCCCTTCCTTTCTCCATTATTGCAACTGGCGTGTGATATCTTGGAACGTGAACCGTGGAATGAACTGCTATTTTTTTTTCTTTGCCCCTCGATCGAAGGAACAACATTCATTCATTCCACATCCATGGACACATTTCTTTTTTTCTCTCCGGATTGAAAGTTGAATAAACAACAGTAAGAGTAAAGGGTCATTGCGGCGTACCTCTTTTAGAATGATCCTTAGCCCCCATCACCTTCGAAGTCTTCCCCTCAGCCATATCATTCTCATTTTTTTATCACTTTTTTTTTTTTACCACTTTTCATGTCATTACATCACCATTATCTTCTGACGAGATTGAAAAATCTAAAAAGCCTAGCCCCTCTAACATGTATTTGGCCTTCGTTTTACCTTCTCCACAACCATTCAAGGTCCATACAAATCTTCACCCCGAGACTCCAAGGGGGGACCCTGTCTAGACTCTTGAACAGGATCATCTGAACATTGATCCCTGACCGTATCACTCGCCACCTTACTACAAGTATCATAGTATGACAAAAATAAAATAAAAATACCTTATATATTTGGGGATAATTGCAACAATACCTCTCTTTATATTATTTTTCTCAATTAAGTCCCTATTTAATAAATAAAATTAATAATTTTATATTATCTTAGGTCGGGTCGTGATTTTATCTCAAAAGTCGGGTCAATTCGGGTTTCAGGTGGATGTATAAATTTTTTTGATCGGGTCGAATTGACCGGAAACCCGACTCATGCTCATTCTTACTTGAGATGGATGTTTCTCCAAAGTCGAGAACGTCCTAATCCAAAGTTGAACTGTCAAATAACTACCATGCATAAATTATCAAGGTCATTCCGTAAGAGCTTCGACGTAATAAGCTCCATCAATAAACTTAACTAGAAAGTGGTTATTCTCCAAATCCACTAATTGGGCCTCACCCATTGGTTTTCAAAGAGCAAGCATCCGAGCCGACGACTTCTTGTATCCTATAGCCCTGTCAAGTAATAGAATAATAAGCACCTGTTTCTTGCACTAGTCTATCCGATCATGCACTTTATTACAAAATCGAATAGTCGTAAAAGGTACAGTATCATCAGCTACACATTTTTCATCCAGAACCTCTACCTCATCAATATAATAATGAATATAATTATTTTTCCTAAAGAAAAAATTATATTGATCGAAAATTAATACTAGTAAGTGAAAATAGCATCACTTATCATAAATAAAAAAACTAATGATAAAAAAATGATTTTAAAAATATTTTTACTCAAATTTGATAGAATATTATAGATAAAAAATAATTATTTTATATTGTAGATATTACTTTGTATCCGCCTCAAATTTATTCACTTAACTAATAATTTACGGTACTCGAATATTAAATCTCAATTATTTGGAAGGTACTCAAACGATGAAATGAATCAGTGATATATGTTTCACAAACATGAACACTAGGCAATTTTCAAACATGTGTTGTTTTGAAATTTCTTTGGTAAGGGCCTACAAGATCATAGTAGAAGCAACTGCAGCTCAATTGACAGTTGAGAGTTATGTACAGACTAATCCTAAGATGAAAAAGATCCCATTATCTTTACATTGTTGTGCCTGTAATTACTTTTCCGCTTGGTCGATGGATCGATCTTGGAAAGCTTTTTTTTTATCCATATCCAATCGTTACATGCTCACACATTTCCTTCTCGGATACTGGATGAATCAACCTGTGATTTTGCATCAGCGTGACCTTCTTGAAGCGACGATGGGGCTTCGATTGTTGTAGCTCGAGGACCGGACTCCGAGGCGGTGTCTACTCGTATTTCTTGCATCATTGTAATAGCTTCTTTCAAGTCTAGTCTTTCGTCTGGGCTCGTTTTCGTACAAAGTGAGCCTATACGAAGGAGTTTCTCCATTTCCCCAAGTGAATTCGAGCCACTGGCGATCTCCGGATCGAACACTTCAGCTTGTTTTCCTTCGGAAAGCGCTGTTGCCGCCAATTCGACGACATCAATCCCACCTTTACCATGTTCAAGATATTGAGATGGGAATTTCCCTGTAAGGATCTCAAGAATGATTATTCCTAGGCAATAAACATCACTTTTATGACATACTTTTCCATGTTGTGTAGCTTCAGGAGTATTGTAAGCCATGAGGGTTCCGGTCCGGTCGGTGCTTACCAACGAACATAACCCGTATTCGGAAACACGCGGACGGTTCTCCGGACCGAGCAGAACATTGCTTGATTTGAGATTGCCATGAGGAACATCAAGATAAGCAAGTTCAGCGTGAATATAATCGAGTCCCTCAATGATTCCTTGCACGATTTTTAGTCTCGCAAGCCAATCGAATGCTGCAACCAATGTGCCTCGATCACCTAGAGAAACCATATGCATTGTTCATCAGAATCGACCGATGATGTTGTAGTATTGCAGACACATAGACATAGAAAAAATTCGTACCGTGCAACCGATAAAGCAAGCTTCCGTTCTCGACGAACTCGTAAACGAAAAGCTTTTCTTCGATCCGGTAATGGTAAGCCAGAGGTGTCAAAACATTAGGATGTTTAAGCTTCCCAAGCCTTTTAACCCCTACATCAAACTCATCTTTCCCTAATGAATTCATCTCCTTGGTCCTCTTCACCACCACGGAGACTCCGTTCGCCATCGTGGCCTTATACGAAGACCCCAATGAGCCGTTCCCGAGCACTATCGCAGCAGCCTTCATTAAACTTGGCAAACCAATCACACCCTTTTCATGATTCACCACGACGAGCTCGGGCACCGCACCACCACGGGACGTTCCAGGGTGACTGATACACCTTCCATGGCGATTTGGGTTCCTTCGAACTACATGGACTTCTCCTACGGTGGCCGGCATTGAAACCTGAGCTTCAATATTCGCAATCGAGTTTCCGTTCTCGGTGGCATTGCCGCGGCCATTCGAGGCTTTCTTCCTCTTCTTTTTCCTCCATGCGAATACGAGGAAGATGATGAGTGCAATAAGCATAACACCTAACGTTACAGTTGCAGCAATGATCTTTCTACGATCATTTTTATCTCCTCCGCCATTAACACTGCTTGGTTTATCAGTTTTGTTACAGCGAACCCTTATTTGAGCTCCACAAAGACCTGGATTCTCAGCAAATATATTTGCTGAGAATCTCCATAGACTCGACGGAATCTCGCCTTCGAGTTTATTGTTTGAGAAATTGACGAATGTCAAGTCTTGTTGATTGAAATCCGGGATTTCTCCGGAAAACTGATTGTTTTCGAGGTGTAGATCGATGAGACGAGAAACATTCGTTAACGAATCAGGGATTTTCCCGGAAAACTCGTTGTCCGATAGCCAAACCCTCTTCAACGATCCCATGCCGGTGAAATAATCCGGTGGTATTTCACCGGAAAATTTGTTCATCGACAAGTACAAAGCTTTCAGAGCACCCAAACGATTGATTTCGGGGATGTTTCCATCGAAAGAATTGTTCAAAACACTGAAATAACGTAAATCCTTCAACAGAATCAAAGCGTCGACGTCGATTTCACCGGATAATCCCATGCCTTCGAGGCGTAAACCCACGAGAATCCCATCTAAACAAAGCAAACCTTCCCACGGACCCTCTTCATTACAAGGGACAGAACCGGGAGTCCAAGAAACAAGAGCGATGGCGTCGTCAAAAGACTCCTTGAGCATCAACAGAGCCTGAGAATCCGACGCGGCGAACGTCGGTTCCGGTGAAAATAATAAGAAAAGCAGGAGAAACGATGTAAGAGAGCAGCATGAAGCAGCCATTAGTACTTCAACAACCAGAAACAGTGAGGCTCTGAGATTTTGGTACTGTAATTGTGGGAAACACTTGTTTTTCGAGCTGGTTTCGGTTGTCGTAGGATGTTCATCACGGTGGTCGGATTTTGTTTTTTGGCAAAGAAAAGCTTAGAAGCGAGATGGCAATGGTGTTTTGGAACAAGTCAAGCTGTGAAACAAAGAAGCCATTATTACCGGTAATGTGTATGGATTGAAATGATCATCGCCGCTCAAAAACTGGGGAATTTTGGCCTTACTTGTCCAGTAAAATAGCGTCCACCTCATTCATACTAGAAAACTTGAATGCAATTTTATCTGATTTGATCTTTTATTTTTGAGTTAATTGTATCCATATCTTCAAAGAATAACCTTTATTTTAAATTGGTCCCTGAATTTTTAGATATTCCAATTTCATCCCTAAACCATAACTATCGTTCTAAACTAGCCTTCAAGCTTTTGAACATTTCAATTTCATCCCTAAACTATGTCTTTCATTCTACTCCAAACTTTTTGAATGTTCCAATTTCATCCCAAACTAAACGTATATACTACTCACATCCCTTGTTGATAAAATCTTTAGGACAAGTTATATTATTATATGTTTGAAAGAAACAAAATTTAGGTTAAACTATGGTTGAAACTAATTACATATTTGGATGAATTTGAGAATGAAATTGAAATATTCAAAAGTTTGGGGTTCAGAAAGAGGGTCATAGTTTAGGGATAAAATTATAATGTTCAAAAGTTGAAGAACAAATTTAGAATAAGATTCATAGTTTGGGATTTTTAAAAGTTTAAGGACTAATTTTAAAATAAGAGTTTTGGGGGCATATGATGCAATTAACTCTTTATTTTACTCTATTATAACATTTATATTTTTAAATCAATAAGATTAATTAATTTATTAATCTAATAAAAAATATAATATAATTATAGTTTTAAAAAGATATAATAATTTAAATAAAGTAATTCATTAATAAGTTATTTTTCTTAAAATCATTAAATAGCATAAACTGATTAATAAATAATGAAAATATAATCATACATATAATTAGTTAAAAAAACTCAAACCTATAAAATAAAAAACAATTACAAATAAATATTACAATCGATGATAGATAATAAACATCGTTACACCAATAACACTAATTTAAAAAGTTAAGCATTAACTTACATTATCTAAAAGAAACCAAATGGTTTAGCATTGTAATTTTAAGGTTTAATCGTAAAGCAAGTGCTCAAACCATATTTATCTTATACTTTATATGTCATTTTTTTTTTAATTTTAGTGTTCAATAGAAAATCGTTAATATGTTATTGATGAGTTTTTCAACCCTACAACTTGATTTTTTTTCTTTTTTAGTGGGGGGATTTTAAGATTTTCAAATTGAAATAAATAAATTCAAATTTGATATTTGGGAGTTTAATCTTACATTCAAATAGTTACAGGATGAAGGTTAGTTTAAAGATCTATCATAAAAGTTAAAATAACTAAAAAAAAAATTATACTTATTTTACTAAACCTGATTTTAATCCATAAATGAAATTAAACTTTTCATATGCCCCGAATATTCTATACGCATAACATGTGTATTTGAGATTTTTGTATTATTATAGTATTGAGAAAACAACCCTTTTTTATGTAGAAATTGTTCTAATGATCTGTTTCCTTTTTATATTGAGCATACCCCAATTGAACAAGTATCCATATCGCACTTCGACAACGTAGATCAAATGCTAGAAATTATGCAAACATAAAATCTCTTATTTGTCAAAAGATTGAGTTTTAAATGTTCTAAAGAGGTTATGACCAAGACACCAAAAACAAGGAATCATACATTGATTGATGAAACATCTACCTTCCTTGTAGGAAGCACAACATTCTTATTTCCGGGGAAGGAAGTGCGGGAAATGTCTACGAGAGCCTTGAAACTATACGGTTCATGCATGGATATTTCGGACAGAACTTTCCTGTTCAGTTGGATGTTCTCTTTGATCAGTCCATGCATGAAGTTACCATAGTTTACCTGTAAACAAAAGGCAAAAGCACAGAAACAGCAAGTCAGCATATGAAAGCAGTGACCAAAGTAAGACAACTACATTTATGTACACATGAGAAGCAACAGACAACATATAGCTGAGCCATGTTTCTTGCATTAACAGATTTTTCTCGAACTTTGATGCAAGTGTCGGATACGAATATGTATCTAACAAGGGTATTTGAAACCGAAATGCTCAATCTCTTATAAGTTTTCTATACCGTATAGTAATGGGCTTATGAATTTGACAAACAAATATGATTGAACTTATCTTACTGCCAAAATCATTCCATTTGCATCCCTATGTTTTAAATGGGACAAGAAAAGAAAAGGGTACACAGCAGCTAGCGTCCACTGTCAAGAACCATGAAAGTGCATGCATAGACATCATGTGAACCACATATCTAGCCAACATGCCCAACAATCCCGTGCAGAGCAGCCAGCTCATGCCCAACGCGAACAAAATTAGAACTTAAGATTCATCAGATAATCAGAAAATAGACCAAAAACAATGACAAATAAGTAAAGGTAGATGGTTTTAGTATTGCACCCGCACTTTATAAGGAGTATTTAGACTCCAAGTGAACTACAGTTCAACATTCAAAGAAATTTTATGAGAGAAAACGGGATGAAATGCTTTCACATCTATATCAACACTAATAGATACTAAATCCACCCACTAGAATTAGTTTTATGATAGCATACAGATTTCTAGTCTAAACTTCTAGAAGGCTGGTCATGTAAAATTTTGAATCTATTTAATCATGTCGTGGTGTTTCTATTGTCAATAAATCATAGGCAAACAAAAAAAAAATATCCACTGAATTTATTCATCCTATTACATTATAAAAATACAATATTGCAAGCTCATTCCATTCATTGTTTTTCCAAGCTGCAAGTAGTTTAAAGTATCATGGACCATGAATCATGATGTTAAAATCAATAAGAAACAAATCACAGATATGCCATGAGCACCAGTGATGAAAAAACCAAACTGGAATGGTCAGTTCAACCGGAACTAGTGGCCTATCCAGTCTGGTACGTCCCCTAGAATTGGGGAACCAATGACGAGATATGAGCATACACTGGACCAGAATTGTGAAGCGTACTACATAGTAATTTCTATGAATTTAAACTCCCACTTAGTATTTTTTTTTTGTCATCCAGAAATCTCTTATCTTTTCTTTCTCATATTAAAATTATTGCAGTAAGTGACGAGATTTGAACTTCTTAACCTCTTAATCATAAATTAAACACTATAATAAGCCAAGTACGCAACTTAATCGAACAATCCGAATCACGGGTTGGAGAAGTGACCCAGACATCATACCAGTTTGAGCTCCAATCTTGTTTTCTGAATTCATTAACAAGCACTAAAGCAAAATAGCAAGCCAATTATAGCCACTTTCTGTACAGAAATGCACATCTACAAAGTCTTATCTGTTCTCTTTCAGTCCAAAGCTAATCAAATCTAAAACCAAACAATACTACAAGATGCGTTGAATCCATAAAACGGAGGAGTTCAAACATCAAGAAATTTTCAATTAGAACACGAAAATTAGTAAAGCAAAACAGAAATGTTAAATTTAGAGAGCTTACGCCATGTTGACGAGTCCCGGCGTTTATGCGTTGAATCCATAAAGAACGCATGTCACGCTTCTTGTTCCTGCGATCTCTGTAGGAATACTGCAAGGCCTTCTCGACCCTCTCTCTTGCGATTCTTATACAGTTCTTTGCCCTTCCCCTGAACCCCTTTGCCAACTTCAATATCTCCTTCTTGTTCATCTCTTTTTCACTCGCACTTTAATCTTCTTCGCTGTATGTGCATAAATTCAGTGGATGAAACCCTAAGGCCTAGAAAATGGGGAAGAACATAACTATGTAGCCTTTAAGGTGGTAAATTGGGTATATTCAATATGATTGGGTACCAATTTGGATATGGCCAATTTAAGTGTTTGGGACGGTTTGTATAATATAAGGGTCTGTTACTGAAAATGTTTTATATTTCAAATGATGAAAATAATTTATAAACCTTATATGAGCGCTATAGATGAGAATTTAATCTGTATCCGATGAATTTCGTTGATTTTTCCAATATTTGTTTAATCTAAAGCTCTGCAACTCTCTGTGTTCCTACTATTATGAATTATCCAAATGAGATAGTCTTTAAATATACATTTCATTGTGTCGCCTCTCACTGTTTAATTATAAAAATCATTTAGAAGAAGTTTTGATCATCAAAAATAAAGACGTAATTTCCCCCCTCGTTTTATTCCTACTTATCTCTTTCAATCATCTTTTTCTATTTTTGCTAATTTTAGGTTTAAGAGTCTTGTCGTTTGTTTTATGCTTTTTATATAGGAATTCGTTAGTTTTGTTAAAAATAAAAATTATATAGAATTACAAAAAGTTTAGGATGATAACCTTAAACTAAAATATAATTTAGATATTTTCCTATAATAATTGACACAAAAACTAGTAACACAATGATCAAAGACGAAAAAGGCTAAAAAGTCTAACGAAAAAGTTCGAACAAAATAAATATACGAATAAATTTAATTGCATCGGTAAACGAATCACGAAAGGAAATGAAGCTACCGAAAGACCCCAAACAAATCACAAATTAGAATCAAATGACATGAGAAAATTATCCAAGAACATTAAATGTGTATCTAAATCAATACGAGGGTCTAAAGCAGGAAATATCAGCATGATAACAAATAAGTGTCATCTTAATCAGTTGTGGCGATGTCAAATTCAACTCTGAGAAAAAAAGATAAACGAAAACAACGTCAAATGATTGAAAACTACCAAAAGACAAAGATAAACGTGACACAAAAGTATAAATAAACGTGTCACGAAGAAATAATTATTTTTATTAAAAACGAAAAAGAACAAAAAATAATAATAGTCGTTTGACAACCAACTCAAATTAGTGTCGTCACTAGTTAAAAGAAACAATAAAAACTAATTTGATTTATCTATAAAAAAATGACATAATAAAATAGGTTTCTTCTTTTTAAGATTCAATGTTATAGTTTTTTTTAATAAAAAAGACTATAATTTGAATTAAAAAATTAAGATTAAGATTAGATGAATTAATAATAATGATTTTAATAGTTAAGGGAATAGGTAAATGTTTAATTTGAAGTGAGATATCAATAATTAGCATATCCAAAATATAAGAATAAGATTATAAAATTTTAATATTTTTTAAGAATAATAGGTATGTAATTTTTTAATATATTACATTAAATTTAATTATTTTTTTAAAATATGAAATACACTCGAAGTTTAGTGCATGTCCAAAAAATATGTTTTTTAATATATTATATTAAATTTAATTATGTAATTTTAATATACTAGAAGTTTAGTGTATCCGTCCGTGTCAATAATAATGATTATAAAAATATATCGAAAGTGATACTATTTTTAAAATTTCAAGAGATTTAATTTGATCGAACTAAAATTTAATTTTGAATTTAGGCTCAAACAAATTAATAATTCAACAAAAGAAATTATATTTAGTTTAATTTATTATACAAATTATCTTTGCAAATTAATCAAAATTTAAAATCACATGAAGTCTTAGTTAAAGTTGTAAAGTCAACTTTTAAATTATCGAATGAGTTATCGGGAAAAAAAACACTGACAACATTGACCATTTTGTAATTTAAATAACAACTATACAAAATAAATGTAATAGTTTATCACTACAAAAAAAATCCCCAAATTAGTAATAAATAACTTTGATTAGATCGCACGTAACAAATGATAGCTCAAGGTCTCTTTATTTATTTATTTTCTCTCGCTTTCTCGAGCTCCCTTTACGATCGAACCCTAGGCGAAGGAAGAAAAGGGGTAATTTTCTCGGAAACCAAACAAACCAATTAATTTTCCCTAGAAAATCTCCTTGAAAAGGAAAAAGAAAAATGCAGTACCAGAGGCTGAAGCAACAGCAACAGCAACAAGCCTTGATGCAACAAGCTCTCCTCCAACAACAGTCTCTCTATCACCCAGGCATCTTAGCTCCTCCACAGGTTTTCTACTCTCTTTTTTTTATCTATTATCTATTTTATTTTTTTATCTTCATCTAGGAGTACTTGATCCGGTTTTTAGGCATGACTTGGTGGATTTTGCGTTTTATTATCTTCTAGCTCGTATTTTTGTTTCTTGTTTGTAATTGACTAGTGTAGGTAGGGTTTGTTGGGGAATTTATGTGGCGATGATTTAACTTTTGAAATACAACTTTTTACCGTGGAGTTTGCATGAATTGAGTGGATTTTGTTTCCGCTTTGTTGTCTTCAGCGCTCTGACATGCTTTATTGATCGGAAGTTTATTCTTTCTTTTTTTCTGCATTTTTTTTGAAATGAAGACGGATTTGTTCTTTGTGAAATGAGACTCATTGTTTCGGGTTTGGAATTGGATGAGAGGTTGTTCTGTTTCTTAATATTTTTCAATTTTCATCATTGCATGAAATTCCAATGTTATTTCTCTTATTTGAAGTTGCAATTGGCTAGCTAATAGGTGTTTTCATTCTCATATACTGGCGTTTTTCACTACAATGGTTTTTTTTATAGGAAGTGGAGGCCTCGTTAAAAAACCCCTTCATGATTAAAGGAACATCGGTCGGTTTTCTTCAATCAGCGGAAGGAGGAAAAGAGTGCCTCAAATTTCATTAATAACTGAAAGATTTCATAACGTTTAAAACAGACAGTCCCCTTACAAAAACAACCCGAAACACACCAAATAACACATCTAACATTCAAGAAAAAAAAAATCAAAACCCAACAAACAAAACAAACACTACCCAATACCAGCCATAGCTAAGGTATCGGCTTCAAAATTAGCAGTTCTGTCCACCCATCTGATAGCACCCTGAAAAACTCTTATTATATCAGCAATTTCTTTGACTAAATCACGAAAAACTGCAGGACAGTTATCAAAGTTCTTAACCCAATCCACTGCAAGTTTGCTGTCAGATTCAACAACCCAGCGAGCCTTAAAACTCTGAAGAATAGAATCAAAGATAATTAGACCCCTTTTGATGGCTATAAGTTCCAGCAAAGTAGGAGGGCATGGACCAGCTGTTTCCTTGAAAGAACCCTTGATATCTCCAAACTCATCTCTTAATAGACCACCTACACCACTCTTTCGCCAATCCTTGCAAACTGCTGCATCCACATTCAATTTTAAATAACCCTTAGGAGGGGGGATCCAGGAGATAGCACTACAATGGTTTTATTTAACTTGTGATCAAAATCTTCTTGCTGTTTTGAAATGTCAAAAAATGATTAGATGCCTTTTAGTTCCCTAACCTATCTTTCTTGGGCAATTCTTCTTCTATTTGTTCATGCTTATACGTGCTATATTTAGCTCGTGTTTGCAAATATTGGGTAAAAATGTGCAATTTATTTATTTATTTATTTATTCCTTTCTTTCCTAATAATAGTGTTAAGACTTAAAACATGGTTTGCTTCCTGAATTTCATTTTGGGACTTTTTAGACACTACAATTCTGCTAAATTATGTTTTTCTAGACGAGGCGGAATATTTTGGTCTAGTGTCCACTGAAATGCCAAAGGGTTTAAAAGGGATCACAGTGAAAGCAAACAGATATAATAGTACTTGGCTTTAAGTTGAAAGTGCATCTTGTTTACTTTTTATAGGTTGAGTGTTGGATACCTTAAAAAAATCATCTTCTTTCTTTGATATGAAAGCTTTAGAATTGGGTTGAGTGGGAAGGGGCATTTTGTACATCATTTCTTTGTTTCCCCTTCTCTATTTCCCTTCTTTTTCACATATTTATTTTGCAGATAGAGCCAATCCCAAGTGGAAATCTGCCTCCTGGTTTTGATCCAAGTACTTGCCGCAGTGTGTGAGTTTTTGCCTAGATTTTGTTTTCTTCCTATTTCCTTCTTGTTCTTCTTCATTTTGTGTGTTTGTTACCCCTTCATAATTGAGCACTTTTATGCTTTATATCCATACATTTGGTATACACTTTCTTTTGTGAATATGGTGGTTGAAAATGTTGTTGCTGCCCTTAATGCTAAATTCTGAGCTGTTATCTCTTTTACTTAATGATTGAATAGTGTTCCAAATGTAATAGCTTTTATATTCTTTCCTCTTTCTCACAACTCAGGAAGTTACTTATAGCTTTTTTTTTCTTTTCTTTTTAAACTTCTAGTTTTTATTTTGAGAAAATGCAGGTATGTGGGAAACATCCATACTCAAGTGACTGAACCACTACTCCAAGAAGTTTTTGCAAGTACTGGTCCGGTTGAAGGTTGCAAGCTTATTAGAAAGGAAAAGGTATTGTTTATCAGAAAGGAAAATGTTGGTAAAGTTTCTTTACTAGGCTTTCACCCTTTTCCTTTAGCCTATTGGTTACCAAGTGGTTGACATGCCTTTTGTTTTCTCTCTCTAATTAAGCAGTCATCATATGGATTTATCCACTACTTCGATCGTAGATCAGCTGCTCTTGCTATTTTATCTCTAAATGGAAGGCATTTGCAAGTGTTAATTTCTAATTCCTTTTCCCCTCTTACTTTATTTTGAGCGTGCTTTTACCTCGTATCATGTAATCTGCAGATTTGGACAGCCTATCAAGGTCAATTGGGCATATGCTAGTGGTCAGAGAGAGGATACGTCGGGTTTGTGATTGTTTTTGTTTGCAAAATTTCCTCTCAAACATGTATGATGAGTTGGAAATTATTATTTTTTAATCTACTTTTTTGATACTATCATAATTGGTACAGGTCACTTTAACATTTTTGTTGGGGATCTCAGTCCTGAGGTTACTGATGCAATGCTGTTTGCGTGCTTTTCTGTTTATCCCGGTTGTTCGTAAGCACCACATCCTTTGATCTTGATACCAGTAAATGCATGTGCTGTAACTTATTCATAGTAAATGCTAAACTATCTGGAAAGTGCAAATTTATTTGTCACTAAACCTCGATTAATGTTTTCCACATTGCTATTAGAGTGATCATCTATGAATAACAAAACTGATGCTTTTACTGATTTCAGGGATGCGCGGGTTATGTGGGATCAGAAAACTGGACGTTCAAGAGGATTTGGGTTTGTTTCATTTCGTAACCAGCAGGTACTGTTTCTTGGTTAATCTTCTGGTGGCTCTGTTTTTCTCTTCCATTATAATGTTGCTACGTCTATTGATATCAACTTCTTTTATCTGTTCAGGATGCACAAAGTGCAATTAATGATTTAAGTGGTAAGATAAAGGCTTTCTACTCTATATATGTTTTATCTTCATTGTCTTCAGCTTTAGTTCATCAATAAAGCTGTGAATTTCCGTATCAAAATCTGATTACATTTCTTTCATGCTTGGAAGTTATTCTTTATAGGTTGCTGAAATAGTTATCTGAAATAAGTTTTCCTTTCTTTTGTCATAAATTGCACCTTGTTTATAGTATCGATTCATTAAATTATAGCAGCCGAGCTGGAAGAATTGCAGTTAGCACTAATTTCTAAACAAACTACCACTTGCATAGATTTCTTTTAGTTGATATTGCACTAAAATTCATATGCTTGATTTATTTTTGTAGGAAAGTGGCTTGGTAGTCGACAGATTCGTTGTAACTGGGCAACGAAGGGTGTTGGTACCAGTGATGACAAGCAGAGCTCTGATGCTAGAAGTGTGGTAGAGCTAACCAATGGCTCATCAGGTAATTCACATTATTACTGTTTCGTTCAATGCAAACCCCAAAACTGTTACCAGTATTTTATTACTTCTATTCAATCTTTTTATGGGTCTTTAAGTTTGTGCCGGATGTGAAATAAACTTACATTTTTTAGCATTGGATGCAGAGGATGGTAAAGAGACAACAACCAACAACGAGGCTCCTGAGAATAATCCTCAATATACTACTGTTTACGTCGGCAATCTTGCTCCCGAGGCAAGTAACTTATATGGACCTTGAGAACTCCCATCCTTCTAATAAACTTTTCAACCAATGATGGTTTGAGCTTGAAATGGCTCTGTATTTGGACCCCAAGAAATCCCATCTTCTAATGCAGTTTTGAGTGCTTGCAAGAGTTGGCCTTGTGTTTACTTTGTATTGTAAAGGAACATGTTAAGTTCTCGAATAAAACTGATTATCTTTTATTCCGGCAGGTCACCCAACATGAACTCCACTTTCACTTTCATGCTCTTGGTGCTGGGGTGATTGATGAGGTTCGAGTCCAGCGTGATAAAGACTTTGGCTTTGTGAGATACAGTACTCATGCTGAGGCAGCTTTGGCTATTCAACTGGGGAATGCCCATTCGTTTTTATGTGGCAAGCAAATTAAGGTTTATTCTCTTCTTTTCCTCGAAATTTGGCTTCTCTACTGAAGTGTTTGGAGGAGGATGTTTTAGGAATTCTTTGCGTAACTTCTACTCAAAATGAGCAATGGATGGTTGTTTTTCATTAGATTCGTTTTTGCTGATCTATATCTGACATTCGGGTTCGACACATTATGTGGATATGACTTTCAATGATCCTCCAAATACATGAAAAAAACTTCATAGTTGTTTGCTTTGGATACATACCTGAATCTGGCACACCTGAGTCCAACTAACGTAAGTTGTGCTTCCAACTTCTTTCAAATTTCAATCACTTCGTTAATTTGTTTTATGCAGTGCTCATGGGGCAGCAAACCTACACCACCCGGGACAGCTTCAAATCCACTTCCTCCTCCTGCTGCCACACTGTTAGCCGGGCTTTCAGCCACCGACCTTTTAGCCTACGAGCAGCAACTTGGCATGAACAAAATGAGTGGTGTGCACGCCCTAATGCACCCCCAGGGGCAGCACCCTCTGAAGCAAGCAACGATGGCACTAGGTGCCGCTGGAGCAAGCCAGGCCATATATGATGGCGGGTTCCAGAACGTTGTGGCTGCCCAGCAGCTAATGTACTATCAGTAAATCGAAAATCAGAGTGTGTGGTAATATATTATATCCTTAATTCCCTCTCATTTGCAGGTTTTATCTAAAGAAAACATTTAGGAGGCTTTTTAATGTGTCCCCCCCCCCTTTTCACAGAAGCGAGATTGCATTGTGCCATGCATTTTCTTATCTCTATATAGCATTACATATATGTTTGCCTGGTTGTGTCAATCTTATGTATTCCCTGATATTATTTTGACTTCTTAATGGTTATGAATCCTTCTTATTGTATTTTCATATATTCCGTACGGTTGCTGTCCCAACACAGAAAAAACATAGAACATATTTAAACTTTTAATGTTTATTCTATTGTCTACTTTCATATTTTTAGAGTTAATTGCTCATGAAGTACCCAAACTATGACCTCGTTCTAAATTGATCCTTCGATTTCAAAACATTCTATGTAAGTCCCCAACCTACGTACTATATTAGTCTTTTTGTCAACGTGCCGTTAACTTGTGTTGACGGTCTAGGGAATTGAACACACAACTTAAGATAAATTAACATGTTTTTGAAGAGTTGAACACAACTTAAAAGTAGATTAATTTATAACTAGACATATCAACAAAAAGATCAAAATAAAAAATGATATTGGTTATTTAAATATTGATAATAAGATATTTTACGTTTTAGGGATCATCTTAGAATATGGTCACTTTAAGGACTTAGATAAAAATTCTAGAATTTTTATTCAGAATAAGAACTAATTTGTTGACATCGTTTACGATTATCGCATTCTTGTTCTTCTAACAGTTGTATATGAAATGGTGAATAGTAATTTCATATATAACAGGTAGGGCCGAAAACCTTTTTCCTAAGCCTGGGCCCAAGTCTTCATAAGTTACTCGTTTCACTTTTAAAAAAAAATATTTAAGAGTATTGTTTTATATTAATATTTATATATTTTATATAATTAAATTTTAAATCAAATAAACATTATTTAGGACGGGCTGCCTTGCGTGTTGAAAATCCCAAATAATCATTACATCAATTTCACAGCTTCAGTTTCTGCAACAAACAATGGATACTGAAGAAGGGTCTAAAAGATTCTGTATTTTGAGCATGACTTAAACGTCCCCTGGTTCAACTAACCCCCGTTCCCGAACCGACTTTCTACGAAAACAACGTGAAAGACGTTTTCCGATCGCAAAACTATGGTCGAAGTCCACTCAACGGAATAAGAGGGTACTTACAACAAAACGGGACGAACTGGTATTTTACAATAATGTGATGGATAGAAATGATTAATCGATTACTTCAGAACAATAAAAACGAAGCAATGAAGCACATGATCCAACAAAAACTAGTGTTAAAGTTCACAATTTCTGTATCTGCAAAGGCTGCAACAAAACAACAGCCATTTAGAAGCTCTAAAACTATTCAGAATTACATTAGGCAGAGCTATTGGATATGCAGCAGCTCTCATCAGTCTGTTTCCAACCTAGCAATATATTTGTCATAGAATTTACCTGCTTTCTCCAGGTCACCAAGCTCGGTGTAACAATCGGCGATCGCTCCATATGCTTCTGTGCTTCCCGAGTCCTCTCCTTCTCGTTCCGAGATTGCTAAAACCATTGAATGATACTTTATGGCTTCTCGATATTTGCCTTGCCTTTGCAATGAAGCACCTGAGTAAACCAAACTAACGTTTAGACTCCAATGGATATTACATAACATACATTTAAAGGCTTTACAATTTATTCCCATCGCGTATCTTCGCTGCTATGGTATTCATAAACAAATTGGGATTTTTTTCATTATCAGATATATGGTTCCCATATAACCAAATACTACAAAATTCGAGATGGGGATGATGGGTAAACAGAGTGGTATATACCTAAACCCCGGGCAGCCTTCTTCTCTTCGATAGGATCTTTTAGACTCCGAGCAAGCTCCAAGGCCGTCTGAAACTCTAGAAAAGCCTTCTCAGGTTCTTGATTCCTTAAATGGTTCTTCCCACTCTTCAATCGAGAAATTAACTCTTCCTTTCTCGGATCAACAATAATGTCCTCTTCTGATATTCTACCGACAACAGGAGCATAACTTACTTAGGGTGGGAGCATATGACTCTATCTTCGCCTGCCTTCTAAGAGCAGTATTGATCCGGTGCAGCTGCTCATTCACTCACTGCAGTTCGCCTCTCCTCTGCCGTGCAAGCAAGCCTGAGGTACAAGTTACGGATTGTCAGGGAAATAATAATTCCGGGTTTAGAAGGAGAAACCCATCAGCTTTTATGACCCGAGACATATCTCGGACCGAGCAAGTTAGTCATTTAGAATATCTTCTATGTGTACTTCAGGTTTAACAATTTCTTCAAGAAACACAAAGATGGTTTGAACAATAAAATACCAATTGTAGGATCGTGTTCATGTCATTTGCAATTTGCAAGGCACTCAAAGTTGTATTATTGAGAAGAAGTAAAGACGATAAAAGAATTACAAAGATACCTCCCACCGTGGCACCAACAAGGGCTACTAGTAGCAATAAAGGCATGTTGAAAAAGGAGTTATCAGCTTCACATGTTTCCGCTAGGGCTTTGAAAGGAGCGGAAAATATCAAGACATTGGTAGCAAGAAATGCTGTCACCGGAACTCTTAACTGTAAATCTCCCTGCCTCCAGCATCAATTGATTAGAAAAGTTCGATAAAAGTAGAAGAAAATACATTAATACTCGAGAAGTGACTTCATATACTATAACATGGCAAAGTTCAGATAAAATTCAAGATTTTGAATCATATATCTTAAGCTTTATATACACATACATATATTTATATAACACACATTTACTTACAAAAACTAGCTTGATCTTTGATACTATAAGCAGAAATAAATAACAAGAGTAAAAGAAGCTGCTCATGAGACTCACCGTCATACCTCAAGAGCGGTTAAATGTTGTAAAAACTCATCATAATGTGATGAAATACAACCAAAGACCCGCTTTCCATCCGACTTTTGACAAGGGAGTAAGGACCATTTACTTAATTCTCGTGATAGATGACGAATCTCAACCGACCCGTTCACATCTTTAAAGGATGGTCGGAAATTTTCTACTTTACGTATGAAAGATGCCGCCTTCCCTGTTTTCAGTCATCAAATTGAACCTCCCAAAAATTAGCATTCATGATAGTTTACTCCGCCATCAGTTCAGTTCTAGTAGTTTTAAATTTAATTCCAAATTTAGCATAAAAATCATTTTTTCAGGATAAAGCATATGAAACATTACATGAAGCTAAGGTCGGTGGTTAGAATCTAGCGATGTGAATGCAAAAAACTGGGTTCGACCATAATTAGACTCTACAATACTCGATCTGAATTAGTTAAGGTAAAAAAATTTACTTCCAATTTTGCATAAAAAAAATTAAACATGAGATGTAGATGAACTAAAGAACCCCAAAAGCTTACATTGCAGCATTGTATTATTTCCAAACCACTCTCCAAAAACCCATTTCAATACGCCAAAATTTATTCCCAATTTCGCATAAAAAATTTCATTTTTTTCCCCGGGAAAAAACACATGAAACACAAGATATAGCTTAACCAATAGAACCCCAAAGCTCACATTACAGAAAAAAGAAAAAAAACAGATGAACAATAAACTAATCAAAGAATGTTCAAATCTAGAGAAAGGTGGAGCACTAACTAACCTGGAAATTGGGGTTTAGAGAAAGACGGGCGAGTGAGGAAGCAAGAGCAATGGATTATCGACGACATTGCTTTGGATAAAAGACCTTTGGATTCGCGAAAGAATTTAGTCTACTTCTTTTGCTATAAGGTTTTCAAAACATATATGGCCTTGGGATTTTACAAACATCACGTCTATACCCTGAATTATTTTTTATCATACAATTTTAGTTTAAAAATAATTTTTTTAATATTATTATGTGATTATAAGGTAATATCGTTATCTGATTAATGTATTTTATTTTCGTATTTTTTATAATATCACTGAAAAAAATATCTAAATTAATAATTGTCTTTATAAAAATGAGACGACGACACCATGTCTTTTACTTTTGGTTGGAATACCATGACTGATCTTTTTCTCCGCTATAATTATATTTAATTGAAACATTTGATCTTTCTCATTTCTATGTAAGTTACTGTCATGCCTGACCAGAACACTAGTCGCTGGAGATAAAGAATTTGAAGACACTAAAATTTTAGGCAAACTTTTTAAAGACGTATAGCGCTTTCAATGTCGGATTCAGAAATAATTTTTAGAGTGGATGTACATAAATTAATAACACAACATTTTTGAATTGATGGCACAAATAAAATTTTAAAGTAACACAATCAATAAAATAAGAAATTAATAAAAAAAATTCAAATTTTAAGATGGTTACGTACCCACCTGAAGTTTATGTGCCTCCGCCATTGGGTGCTTTGATCGACTTTCTCCCTTTACTATTCATTTCACCTTATTTAAAAAATTAATTTTTTTATTAACTCATATTGATAATTTATTTTTAAAACTTCATCTCAATATTTTTATCAAGTAATATCCGTTTAAAATTATTCTTAATCATTGATGCCTACATATCTATTAATGTAATTTTTTGAATCAAGATATTTAAAAAAAAATATTATTTTTTGTTAATGAAGTCTCTTAATAAGTTTTGTATGTAACTCTTCGTTTTCATTTAAAATCTTGTTTTAAAAATGAGTTAAGACACAGTAGCTTTTCAGATTCCTGCCCAATATATTTCCCCGTCAATATTCAACTCTCCTTCCCCTTCGATTCGCCGGCGAATATGTACCGCGGCCACGAGCGAACACCTCGCGGTGATTATTCCAATCACAGTCACAGCCCTGTAAGTTCTTCGCTAACTTTACTAATTACTCATTTTTTACGCTTTTTTAAAGAAAATTTAAATAAATTTCTTGAAGGATTTAGTTCTTAGTAAAATTGAAGGCGCATAGTTTGCAAAATTTGAAGAAATTTTATTTGCCGATATTCGATGTCGTTTATATATTTACCATTAATTATAAAATGTAGATAGGCCGAACCAAACGAATATAAATGGGGTATGCTCCTGTTCGTTCTTTTAATTTTAACCGAATAAATAAACGAATACAAACATAAACGAATGGAAAATTTCTTATTAAGGAGTAGAACTTGTTCGTGTACGTTCATGTTCGTTTATTTAAATGATAAATGAACATAAACGAACGGCATAAACGAACACAATAAATGAACATAAATGAACTTAAACGAACATAAATGAAAATAATTTTTTTTCTTTACTAACAATTTTAGTATTATATTTTATTTAATTGTTTTGAGTTTTTTATTTACATTTAATTTAATTGAATTTTAAAATATTTATGGGTATCAGATTAAATATTGAACTTTAATATTTTAATTAGGTCTAGAGAGATTGAGCTAAATATAAATGAACGCATATAAACGAACATAGACGAACGAACATAAACGAACATATTATCGAACGTTCACGAGCGTAAATGAACGAACGAGCACTCTGCTCATGTTCGTTCATTTAATTAAACGAACATAAACGAATTTCTTGCCGAACGATTCACTAACGGTTCGCTAAACGTTCGGTTCGATTACAGGCCAAAATGTAGACTTAATTTTGGTCTATTATGAGGTTTGCCGATGGGGGAACCGTTTTTTATTCATTTTGAAATCCTGAATTTTGATTTATATGGATTGTCAAAATTTCTTAGCAGATTCTCTGCTGCTAATGTTTGGATATTAGGTCACGAGTAATTAGAAAGTTTTTTCTTGTTCTTTTCCCGTGGTTTAAATAATTTTGATCACCATCTCCGGGCTGGGGATTCTGGCAGAAAGTCTAATTATACTCAGGATGATGGAATGTTGGAAAGCCGAGGGAGACGATTTCATAACATGTCTCGAAGTTGTTCGAGTTACTCTAAGCATGGGCATGCTGCTGTTTATGAATATAGGCCGAAAACACCATTGGCTGTTGGTACTGGATTTCAAAGTCAAAATGATACTCCTAAAACCCGGGGCACTCCAAATGAGTCCCTTAAGGATGATTTTCAGTCATTGTCTTGTCACTCGGGTTCTATTGGCTCAATCCCCATTGTAGATAGAGGCCAGATTGAACTCTCATGATCAGTTGAGGAGATTGAGAGCTTTGCATCTATACTGCATCATGATCTCTCCAACAAGGTTAACATCTCCGATTCAGTAGACAAGTCCGAGAAATCCAAACCATTGCAAGAAAAGAGTCCCCAAAATCGTTCAGCTATCAATGATTCGAGTCAGGCTAAGTGCCAAGCTGTGGTTGAGCCTTTTGACATTTGCGTGCCCAAAATCGGAACTCCAGTCATGCTCAAACCATCTTTGCTTGTAAATAATAGAGAAAAGCGGGATGAAATGAAAAGATCGACTGAAGGCCAAATAGGAATCGTATTGAGACCTGGAATGGTGCTTCTAAAGAAATATCGTTCTATAACTGATCAGGTGAGGCTTGCTAATCGTTGTATCTCAATCTTCTAGCTATATGTGCTTCTAAAGAATTCACCTGATAATTGCTATATCTCCAGTTTACCCATGAGCTACTTGTGTTCCCTTTTGGTTGATATGTCTATGCAACTTGAATTTGTGTGTCTTATTTGTCTGTTACTTGGACTCGGGTCCAAGTTTCTGCAATGAGTATGTGTGTCAAAATTTTCCAAATTTTCTATGTATTTGGAGGTTTCATATCCCTATATTCATGTGCCAGACACAGATACTTCAAGAAAAATGAAGAGTTGAAACGATAATCTTATTCTAGTGGTGTTTGTGGTTATAATAACCATGGTGGAACTTGCAGCAACCTTGAGTGTTCAATGGCTCAACATCCATTGGTTTGAGGTGTTTCGACCTATACACTCTTCATTATTCTTGAAATACCAGTACTTAGCATTGGTGCCCAATACGTGTATGGTTGTGAGAATATGACCATTGAAGGAACCTCCGTTACATGGAAAATATTCCTTTTTCAAACAAATACCTGTATTAATATAGGCTTTGACCATGTTATTGGTGTTTTTAGATGTTTTAAAATGAATTCTTACAATGCTAGAAAAGGGTGAATGCCATTGGGACTCTGATCTGTGTTAATTTACTTTGCATCCTCGTATGTTTCTAGAAATTGTAAGAACTTGTCGAGCTCTTGGTTTAGGTTCTGGAGGTTTCTATCAACCAGGCTACCGTGATGGTGCAAAGTTGCATTTGAGAATGATGTGCCTTGGTAAAAACTGGGATCCAGAGACAGGTAACTTTGGAGATCTTTGCCAATTGACAGTTCTGTTCCCCCTGCTATTCCTCGCGAATTCTATCAGTTGGTTGAGAAGGCAATAAAAGATTCGCATTCCCTTATTCAACAAAAGACTAAGGCTAGCCATGCAGAAGACAGTCTCCCATGGATGTCACCAAATATCTGCATTGTTAACTTCTACTCGGCAAGTGGTCGATTGGGGCTTCATCAGGTCTGAACTTTTAACTCCTTTTTTCATCCTTGATTTCTTCGAAAGTCCTTATCAGTACCCAACTCTTTCCGCTTTAATTGAAATAATCCTTTCATCCTCCCCTATCTCTAGGATGTCATAAATTTGTTTCAACTGAAAGAAATAATCCTTTCTTCCTCCCCTTTCTCTAGGATGTCATAAATTTGTTTCAATTGAAAGATTCGGCTCGTGTTGTTCCAAGGATAAGGATGAAAGTCCGGGAAGTCTACGTAAAGGATTACCCGTGGTTTCCTTTTCCATTGGAGATGCAGCAGAATTTTTATATGGTGACGAAAGGGAAGTCTAAAAAGCAGACAATGTTGAACTTGCAATGTGCTTGTGTTTGGTGGGAAATCTAGACACATATTTCATGGCGTGACTGCAATTAAGCAAAACACTGCACCTGGAAGTCTTTTGGAGGAAACAAATCTCCCTCCAGGTCGTCTAAATCTGACTTTTAGAGAGTACTAAAATCCTAGATGCAAGCTTTTGTTTGACTGACTTCTAATCTATATAGAAGATACGCTTTAAGGTTAACTTATTGTATGAATTTGTGCTTAACAGCAAAAGGAACATGCTTGCCGAATAGCATTTCATGCTTCGAATATGTCAGAGTCGACCGTTTACCGAATTCCGTACCCTTCTTGATAGTTAGCTCTAGAAGTTGAGTTCTTTCTAATCTCCTAATCATATACTGTTGATTTGCCGAGTCTTGCCACAGTATGTTTACTCTCATACTCATTGCCTCTACCAATACCCAATGTTTCTGGGGAGTGAGGATATATAGACCTGCAATTATTGCTCACCACACGCAAGCAACGTAGTTGTGTTTAAATCTGACTGGACAGGGACTAGTCACAAGTCTAACTTTTCTGACCAGAAAGGGATTAGTCACAAGCCTAACGTTTTCGATCAACAGATTTGATTCGACAATATCCAACAACATCCACAATGAATTCAAGAGAAATTTCTTTGGATACAATCTAATAGAGCATCTAGTCACTAACACATAGTACACGTTATCTTAACTTTTCTTCCAGTTCAATTGTGATAAATCAAGTACAACAAAGAAAAGCATGATAACTACACTTGAAAAAACAAACCCTACAAATTCGAATACAAATCTAGTGTCTTTACTCGTTACAAACAAATAAACACAAAATCTAACCCACTAATCAAATTCCAATCCTCTACTGAGCTCAAATACTAAAATCACTATTGTTATTGTTGTTACTATTATCGTTGTTATTACTATTATTAACTTTGCTATGATGATTACCGGAGTTGCTGATTCCGGCGCCCTTTTTCCCTTGCTTCAACTTCGAAATCTCCAGCTGAGTCTTCATGAAAAACTGCATCCTCTGCAATTCCATCTCCTTGGCGAATTTCATCCTCTGCTTCTCCATTTCCACCACTTGTTGAAGCTTTGCGGTCTCCGCTTGCTCGTACGTTTCGCCAAACCGTAATATCGCCTGAGTCAGTTCCCTAACCGAGTTCCCCCATTTTCTTATTTTTTCACCTGAATTGGCGTCCTTATGGACCACTCTCCTTGCCTTCTTTCCTGTCGGATGCGGTGGTAAACTATCGAAAGAATCCACATCATCATCATCCCCGTCGTCCTCGGAGTCCATATCCACTGGACCCTGTTTCTTCTGATTCTTCAATACAACCATTCTCGGTTGCTTTTGTCGTTGGTGTAGTTGTTGTTGTTGTCGTCTTCTTTCTTGAACTTGAGAAATTCGATATGGATTCAAACTGGATCGGATCCCGACCGGAATCCCCATCGGTACTTTAGACAAAAAGTCAGCACTTCCACTGCAACCACCGGCAGAGGCCGGGGAAGCTGTATTAGAAGGAATCTTCGCCGATGGTCCTATAAGTTGATCTAATTTCTCATAAAACACCCACTTACTCGGCCCATTTCCGGCGGCAACCTTAGCTTTCTCCAATTTATACTTCTTCTTCACCGTATCGATTCGATTCTTACACTGAATATCCTTCTTCGGAGTTTTCGCATAACCCTCTCTGCTGCTCACAATATCCGCCACTTCTTTCCAATGCTTCTGCTTCAAGTTCCCACGGCTCAGCTCCAAATACCTCTCTCCCCACGCATCAATTAAAACCCCCGTGGCGCTCTCGCTCCAGCAGTCTTCCCTTCCACCGCCGTTGCTCTTCGGCTTCTGCGGCGGCGGAAGCGCCAGCACTATCGCCTTTTCGTGCAGACCCTGCTCATCTGGAGGTGGCGAATTTGGATGAGGCGAGGCGGCTACCGCCATGGTTACACGACTATTAGACGGCGGTGACGGCGATGCAGATCCGGTAATGGCAACCTCTGGGTACGATTGGATCTCTTCGTCTTCTTCCATCGGAGATCCAAAATATTTGATAATTTCAAAAAATGGTGGAAATTTAGGGTTTCGGCGAAACGGAGAATGGGATTTATTTTGGTTTTTATTTTCGGTTTATTTTGTTTTTTATTATTATCGGTGGATGGAACGGAAAGTTAAAAGTGGGGCGGGAAGCAAAGTGACGGCGTCGGTGAAGGAGGCATTGATTGGGGGACACGTGGAGAAGGAGGATTACGTGTAAGGATTTGATTGGCGGGAACGTGAAGATTCCGTCACGGACGTTAATATGGCAATATCGGTTCTATTTTGAGTGTTCATTTTCCGGTGGTGTACCGAAATTACCCTTCCTTTGCCAAAACTATAAAGCTTTTGTGGGTCAACTTCGACACTCTAAATCTAAAGGTATCCCCTTTGTTTTTTATGTAGAAAAAACGAAATTGACAATCGAGTGAATCCTCCGAGGGGCTTTTTACCCGAATAACATTTTAATTTATGAATTAACACTTAGATTCAAATGTCAAAAATTATCGTATTAACATGAATTTGATCAATTTTTTAATGTCTTCAATAACTCAAAATCAATATGTTTGACCATCAATTTCATTTAAAATTTTGTTTGTATATGAAAATTTTAAAATACTTAAACATAATCTTTTAAACTGCACTAATTGAACGATTGAAAATAATACAATTAAAAAAATGATTCAATAAAACTTTCTTTACAAGCATGGAGAATAATTTAGGCAACCGGATAATGAATGAATGCATTGGATAGAGTTTCTTCACCCTAGAGGCTAAAACTCATTCAAAACTCAAATCTAATGTTAAATGTCAGATAGTAAAGATCAGAAGGAAGAGGACAATGAAACGATACAAGGACAGTGGATAAAACTAGATTTTTTTATTAAGTTAAGGTGATTATAAAATAATATATGTTTTAAATAATTTTAATGATTTCACAATGAAAACTTAATTACCTTTCCAATTGTTAATGTTTGAATCCATGACATTTAAAAAAAAATAACGATTGCTTTAACCATTGAAATATAACTTTTATCTATAATATCACGTCACACTAGAGAGAATAAGGGATGAGTCGGCCATAAAATTCTTTAATGGGATAATGACCTTCTAGACCCCTCTACATTTGCTTACATATAAAAGACCCCTCTACATTTGCTTACATATAAAATACCCCTTTTCTAGACTCAAATATCTCCCATTAAGATTCAACTCGTCTCAAAGAGTTCAATTGTATACCAAAAGCAGAGCGATATTCATTCCGGGTCAACTTTAATATGTTTCCTAAAAATATTTTACTATTATAAAAAATATTAAAATGATATTAGTTTATATATATATATATATATATATGTGTGAGATTACATTCAATGGTCTAGAATTTATTTATGCATTTATTATGATAACATTTAAAAAAAATAAAATTTTCCCCAATAAACAAACATGTGAACGAGTTAGATAAATTTCAGTTTTCTTTTTCTTTTAAAATTTGGATACATTAGTAGTATTGTAATTTAATCATAGAGATACATAGATACTAATGTTAATATAAAATTAATTTTTTGATATTTTAATAAATTTGAAAATAATAAAAGGATGTTTAAGTAAACATACTTGAATGGTTAGATTAAAACTTTAATTGTTGACCGGTGACATCATATTCATTGAACTTTCTGCATTATTTATTAAAACCAATGCAGGGACCCTTAAATTCGGCAACAAATAGAAGTTTAGCTGTTTATTCTAAACCTATTGCATTAAATTCAGTCAAGTGACCCAAAATCCATCCCCAGTGATAGGATGATTTCTAGTTCACAGGTTTAAAAATTTTAGATATTCCTATTGAACTTAATCTTTTATTTAATTTATAATATATTACTCTATATTTTAAAAATAGTGAAATAACTTAAAAAATATTATATATGAATTATCTTTTATTTTCTTGAAAAAATATTTATGAAAAATACTTTAGAATTTATCAAATAATGTTTAAAAGTCATAAAATGAAGTTATTTTTTCAAGATAAAATAAAAAAACAAAGTTGATAAGATAAAAATAAATGTAGATTAACTGAACTTAAAATCAATAAAATATTTAAAAACTAAAATTATAATCTAACCGAACCATATGCACCCCTGATTAAATCAAAACCATGTTTTTAATATTAACCATGCTTATGGTTATTTGATTTTAAGATATTTAATACAACCTATAATCTTTTAAACACTTTAAATGGAAGGTATTTAAAGGTATACGAATTCATAATTAATTCAATCAAAGTGAGTTGAAATTGGATCGTTTACTTGATACTAAACCTGTTTTTGAACAATTATTTGATATTAAACTTAATAGTTAAACCTGGTGTAAATTACTTATATGTGGTACAAGGATTGCCCGTTTAAGATCAACAAATGTACCATAGACTCTTAGCAAAAACCTAGAATATATAGCACACACAAACACATAAGTTAATGTAATAGCGGCCCAATGTTGTTTACATTGAAAACAAACTTATTGGGAAATATTGTAGGACAATTCGAGTATTTTTAAATGAATGGTCGTCAAAGATGTACAACCAAGACAATAACTTAATCTCAAAATTATGGACAAATTATCCCACTAATTCACAAACAAATTACTCTAAATTAATGGGCTTTTCGGTTTATTTCATTTGACTAGGTTGTAATTAACTTTTCGTTCAAAACATCTAGTTTCATAGTTACATTGGTCCCGATTATATTTAGGGATGGTTATGAGTCGAATCAGATATTTAATCTACTCGAACTTGACTCGAGTATAATACTCTTTCATTTGTCATCCGATTCGACTTGTTTAGGAAAGTCATTCCAATCCAACTCGACACAAATATATATAAGAGATATTTGATTGAAAATATATATAAAGAGAAGTATTACAACAATTATCTCTAAATATATAAAAGTTCATTATACTATTATTCTCGAGGTAGATGAGGTCAAATATTTTCACACTCAATCCAAACCCGACTCAATCTAAACTTGGATTAAAAAAATTGATCTTATTAGATACAGTCGAAACTCATTAAATTCGGACTAAATGTCAATCTTTATATTTGAAATCAAATCGAGTAAAACTTTTAAACAAGGGACAAAGTTCTCGCGAGCTTTTTTCCTTCCGCAAACTTGGAATCCAAAACCTTATTTAAATTTGTTGGGGGAAAATCTTATTTAAAAGAAATCAAACTTTTAACCCGGCCCAAATAGATATTAGTGGTAATAATCGACTTTGTTGTCACGGTACGTTGCCTTTCACCTAACACAATTTATTCATTAAAACTTGAGAAAATCGCTTTCATTATGACGTGAACTAAAAATATCTTGATTTAACCTCTAATGGCGGACGGAAAAGGATTAAGATGACAAAGAATGCACGGCATCGTCACAATATATATATATATATATTTTTGAAATAAGCTCTTCTCTCATTAGGGTTTTTATAATGGGAGCACGAGCAAGTAGGTTGACTAAGTTGGTCGGAGACAGAAGGTTTAAGCAAGTCGGATTTACTCCATTGACGCCGAAAGGTTACGTGCCGGTATGCGTAGGGGTCAATGGTGATACGAGACGGTTCATCGTACATAGGAAGATTTTATGTGACAAAGATTTCTCGGAGGTTCTATGTAAATCTGCCGAAGAATACGGTTTTTGCAATGGAGTTCTAAGGATTCGTTACAAAGCGAAGGATTTCGAGGAGTGGATCATCAGAAGGACGAAACTAAAGATTGTTCGTGTTACTTGAGAATTTATCGGTATTGATCGATCATCTTTGGATCGATCAATACCGATATATTCACTAAATATTTGGTTTAATAATATGAGATGATTATGAGATAATATCTATTTAGAATTTTTTTTAATTTAATCATAACACACACATTACAAAATCAGTTGTTTAAACCCAATCTTTTATGGAAAATATAATTACTTTTTACAATTAAAGCCACTCTATTTATTTAAATTTGCTCACAATTTGATTCATTTGTCTGGCATATGATTATGAAATCCTTTATATGTAATATTCAAGTGTATGTGATGGGAGTTGTTTTGCACGTCAAAATAAATTCTTTATTCTCGAATAAATAAATATGGAAATTATCATAGTAAAGGAGAAGTAAGGGTCAATCCCACAAAGACTAAGGAAACCGATGAAATTCTTGGCTTTTGATTATGACCTTTGACGTGAATTTAAGTAAAATAAATAAAATGGGATGGGGGGTTTTGGTTGAAGAGAAATAATAAAATAGAAGTAAAAAGGATTTTAAAGAAGATTAAAGAAAATAAAACCTAAAAAATCGATTGATTAAATTAGCCTCGGGTAATAGCTCTAACTTAAATTATTCAGATCATCAAAATAGATTTACCCTTCGGGATTAACGTCGGCTACGTTGTCTACGATGGCAATCCATGCGACTGAAATTGTATACCGAATACCCAAGATTATCTTTGATTTCAATTTTGGAAATTAATCTAATCTACATCAATTTGTTGAAGATCAAGATCCGTTTAAGCGCATTGAAAACCAACTCGAATTAGTTATTTCAATAAAAAACCATCTCCGATCTCAATTCCCTCTTTAGCAATCAATTTGCTAGTTGTGTTCCCAGGAAGTCAAATGTGCTTTCAATAAGTCGATCATTCATTCCACATATATATAATCACGACAATAATCCGAGACCAATGTCTATCTTTGGTTTTGAAAAATTGTTTTGATTTTATAAAAATAGGTGCAGAGAATAAGAGAAAAACTCTGAAGTTACTGAAGTGCTATTCAATTCTCTCGTTAAAATTGAGTCATTGCTTTTACCTGTGACTTATAAGAGAATAAGTCAATCATGACAAAAGTCATACTTAGCATTTTAAAAGCAAAAGCTTGAAAGTAAAAATAACAAAGAAAGTAAAAGAAAGAAATTTTATAAAACTAAAAACAAAGAAAGAACAAGAAAGAATTGTTTATGAATTCTAGATATGAAAAATGACTTACTCGAGGTGGGTATTTATAGCCTTCTAAAACCCTAGAAATACTAAAGATAATCCTAAGAAAATACAAAAGATAATTA